TTGAGTTATCTGTGTCCAGACCACCATCAACTCCAGTGGCTGGTTTCTGCAGGACTGCTTGTGGACTCAGGCTCCCTGCAACCATTGGAAAAATGAGCCCTCTTTTCATATCACTCAGGAATGGTACCTAATATCAGACAGGTGATTGGGCTGGCAGATGTGGCTCCATTATCTCAGCAAGGGTGGATATGGTAGCTCTTCTGAGAGTTACGTGTGTTTAGCTACAGCCAATGAACCCATGAAGAATATGGTGCATTTGCCAGCCCATTTTTACTCACCTGATCATGGCCGGTGACCAAGTGCTCTGTAAGATTGTAGGAGATAAATGAATACTTTTGTCATCTTTAGGCATCATCTGCCTACATCTTATTCCAATATATTTCTCTTTCTCTATTTCTGCCCCTCTCTTTCTGTTTTTAAAGACACTAGAAACCAGAAACAGAAAGCAAAATAAGTGGAAAGGTAGACTTTCTAATTTGCTTTTCCTCTAGGTAATATTGAGAGAGAGAGAGGGAGGGAGGGAGGGAGAGAGAGAGAGAGAGGGGGAGGGAGAGAGAGAGAGAGAGAGAGAGAGAGAGAGAGAGAGAGAGAGAGAGAGAGAGAGAGAGAGAGAGAGAGAGAGAGAGAGAGAGAGAGAGAGAGAGAGAGAGAATTTCCAGTAAGGTAGAGTGCCAGAGTTTTCTGGCCCTCTGCTCTTATGACCCCTCCCCAAGTTCTCATTCATAATTCCTACAAAGTTCAAAGAAAGAGAGATTCAAGACTCTGGGACTGAAGGACTGATGTGGCATGAGTCCTTTGGGACAGAGATTATTAGTTGCCCTGTTGTATGCAGTGTTCTTTTAGGATAATCCTAACCCTAATACCACAGTCACCTCCCCTACAACACACACACTTCTCCCTCTCCACTGTGCCCAGATTTCCAAGAAACATCCTAGATATTTCTTGAGCATTATCCTGGAAGAAAGGGGAAAAAATGTTATGGGAATGAGAATCTATTAAGTGATAAAGTAAATTCTTTTATATGACTAATGTAAAATGAAAAGTAAATGAAAATGATGAATGCATAGGTCTAAGAAATTTATTTATACCATGTTTATTTCTGAAATAATGAGAGAAATTTGACAATAAAGTGTTGAGAAGAAGATATAGTGAGACAGGTAAATTCTTTAAAGTTTAACAAAAGCAGGTCTAATAATATGTGGGACAACATTTGTATGTAATATTGTTAGTACTTAAGTCTTCTCTTCTATGTTCAGAAAAGAATATAAGGTTTTTCAGACATTTGCATAAGTACTGTTTTTTCCATCTCCATGCCTAGTTTAGCCATCGTTGTTCTTGTTTAAAATTCTTGAAGGAAAGGTTTGAGATACTGAAAATGAAATGAAATGCACTATTTTAGATAGTATTTAAATTGTATTTAAATTTTTATTTAAAAATACTGAGGTAATTATAAAGGAATTCAAAATACAGTCCTCTTTTAGGGCAGTTTTTTGTAATATGTTTACAGTGTCAATTTATTTTACTTTGGTTTTAACTCAAGGAAACATCCTCAAGAACAACTGTAATTGATATATAATGCTTTCACTTTTGCAGTTCCCCATGAGGTGAAGTCAGCTGATTATTTTCAGTGGAATCCACCAAAATTTTCACATACACTTAATTCTGCTGAACATGTGTGGCCCTGAGAAGAGAAAAGAATGGAGCTTTAATGGAAGCTGTGTTACTAAGGTGTTTACACTTCTGTTAAGATTTTCAGGTTAAGATACTGAATATATCTGCAAGGAGAGAAAACTTCACACAGATATATTGCCTACACTTTGTACAGACACCTGGGTATTTGAAAAAATTTAAACTGTTACCCATTCATTACTCACTAGTTCTATTTACCAAATATTTCTGGCTCTTCTATGGGCATAAGTTTTGTTGCATTTTCCCATCACATTTACACACTAGCATAGCCACGTGGCTTGCTTTAATGAATAAAACTTGAGAAGCTACTCATGTCACATCTGGGAAAAAGCTTTAAGAGCTAGTATATGATTTGCCAGAACCTCTTTTCCTCTGCCCTGACAACCAGCTCCAGGTGAGGAGGTTCTACTAGCCTTGTTCCTGGGGTGAAGAGACATGGCACAGTGTCTCTCACCTCTGCCCCAGTCTTTTGACCCATGTGAATGTGTAGTACACATGGATCAGAAATAAACTCTTGTTATTTTAGGTCATTACGATTTGGAGGTCATATTGTTACTACAGCATAATCTAACCTAGAACAGTAGAAACAACATCTTTTAGATTTTTTTTTTTTGTATTTGGGCGTTCATAAATAATTGTGAGAATGTTATATCTTACTTAGGGCCCTTCTTTTTTTATATTTATTTTTTGTTGTTCAATTATAGTTGTCCAAATTCCACCTCCCCAGTGCTTTTCCCTGCCCCACCTACCCGCTCCCATTCAATTTCCTCCACATTGTTCTTGTCTGTGGGTCCTTTGTATACATGTTCCTTGACTTGACCTTTCCCTTTCCCCCATTATCCTCCTCCCCTTTCCCCTCTGGTTACTGTCAGTTGGTTCTCTATTTCCATGTCTCTGGTTCTATTTTGCTTGCTTGTTTGTTTTGTTGATTAGGTTCCACTTATAGGTGAGATCATATGGTATTTATGTCTTTCACCACCTGGCTTATTTCACTCAGCATAATGTTCTCCAGTTCCATCCATATTGTCGCAAAGGGTAGGCATTCCTTCTTTCTGCTGCATGGAATTCCATTGTGTAAATGCACCACAGTTTTTTGATCCACTCATTTACTGATGGGCCTTTAGACTGTTTTCAGCATTTGGCTATTGTACATTGTGCTGCTATGAATATTGGGGTGCCTATGTTCTTTTGAATTGGTGATTCAGGATTCTTAGGGTAAAATCCCAGCAGTGGAATTGCTGGGTAAAAAGGCAGTTCCATTTTTAGTTTTTTGAGGAAATTCCATACTTAAACAATGGGCAAAGGACCTGAACAGACACTTCTCCAAGGAAGGCATACAGAGGGCCCATAGACATATGAAAGAAAGGGCCATTCATTTTTTTGATGTCTATTTCTTGATGCTTGATTCTGTTTTTTCCAATTGCTATCCTGACTTCAAATATTTTCAAACTAAATATTGTAAAATCTTATGTGATCATATGGATTTAATGTGAATTTGTTATATTGTGCACATACTTATCTTGCACTTCATTAGATTTATGTGTTATATCAACTGATAACATGCTGGTCCATCTTCTTACACTATTATATTACATACTCCTACAGAGAAAGCATAGCACATAACTAAGCTTTATTCTTTTGGTACAATTTCTAGAAATACATATTTGGTGGAACTCAATAAACTTTTGCTGAAAAGGTAATGGAGAGAATGCTGCTGAGGAAAATGCTGACAATAGGGATTTCAAAGAGATCATGCTCCAGGAACATGAATGTTCAGAGTGACTGTGAAGCCATTCAGTTTATACAAATAAGTGACTGCTTATGTGTCCTAATATCTGAAAATCAAAAATCAGTTTGAAAGTGTTATAGATTTTTAAATCTTGTAGAAATACAAAAGGATGAGATAAATGTGAGAATTAGCAAAGGATTTTGTATTTCTAGAAGAGGATGGTAAATGACCACACATTAGACATTTGTTATTTGCTGGGTATCTTTCTCAGTGGAAATTCTATGGGGGAGGTATATTTTAGTCTTTGGAATAAACCTTTGCAAACTCACATTGCATTGTCTATTATTCCTACCGTATGATTTTATTTCCTTTTTTCCCATCAGAAAACAGGTCTTGAAGTGAAAGTTTTGAACTTCACCACACGTCTGAGGCTATTGGAATAATTTTTTTATGTGTATTTCCTTATAGGATTCTGATGAGCAAGTGATAATTTTAGCATTCCTAGTCCCATGAGCTTCTTAAGTATTTTCATTATATTGTCTCAATTAGTGGTCACAGAATGTAATGCAGTACGACTTATGCAGTTCATTGTAATTAAACTGCATTATATGTAATGCAATTTATTTATTCATTTGGTAGATGTTTGTTAAATATCTGTATTTTAGCCCTATAAATACAGAGATGGAAAACACATGGTCTTGTTTTTAAAGAGATCACGTTGTAATTGGAAGTACATATTGATTATACATTAATACATATTGATTATGAAATATGTATTATGAAAGCTATAGCAAAGGGATGTGGAAAGTGCTGAAACAGAATAGAAGGATGAGGATTTGATCTACTATGAACTAATAGATGGCCAAGGAGGGCTTCAAAGAAAAAGTGATATTGAAATTGAGCATTTTATACAATATTTCATCACTTTGTTCTAATTAAAATATTAGAATGCTTGAGGATTTTACCATTATATTTACTTTGGATAACAAGTGAACTTTCCTCTCAAAATAAGATGTATTTAATTTTTATGCTATATTCTATACTTGGGAATTTGCGGGTTTTAACCTGGGGTAAATATTTAAAATATTGAATAAAAGTAATGGCAATTCAGAATGGATGCTGACCATAGAATTAGAACATGATCAGATAAAGACTCTGGCAGTGCCTGCTAACTTTTTAATTGTAGGGTTATGGATGGATTCTTGCACACCAATTTCTCATCTCTTAAGAATAACTAATACTGAAGATTTAAAGAAGATGAGAGGGTGGCTTTGAAAAAGGCTATCTTTTAGAAATTTCCCAGGTAAATTTCACAGATGATAATTTTTTTATATCTCAGTTGTTCTGTATTTCAATGATGATCCATGGTGATAATGCTGATGAACAGCCCCAGAGTGAGATGTCAGTATTTGGCTGCGGCTGTTTGCAAACTCTGCTGTGATTACACTCAGTTGTCTAATTGCTTAATTTATCGATGTTTTGCTGACATGTTTTTCAGCAATGTTTGTGATTGCAGAAAATTAATCATTTCTATTCTGGCTCATTATCATATGTTTGCATTTAATTTGTCTGATTGCTGCAGGTGGAAACAATAGGTGATGCATACTGTGTTGCTGCAGGACTCCACAGGAAAAGCCTCTGCCATGCTAAACCCATCGCTCTGATGGCTCTGAAGATGATGGAACTTTCAGAAGAGGTGCTGACACCTGATGGAAGACCAATTCAGGTCACTCTCAACATATAATTTGAGTAGAAATGCATGTTTTACTGAAGGAAGCAAGAAATTCCCTTGTGAATTCTACATACTGTAACTTACAGATCTAGATAAGTTGGGTGTACGGGGAGGATGGGGAACAGCTAGAGGTGACTCATAGATCCAGGAGAAGAAAAAATGATGTAAAATAAGAAAAGGTGTGTGGATGGCAAATTACCATGGAGGAGAAAAAAGGAGCTAAAGGGTTAGACCAAGGAGAAGAACTTGCTTTTAATAACCAAGTCACCAAATCCAAGTAAGAATGATGGTAAGAATCAGAGTCTGAGAAATAATCCAAAAAATGAGAAACAAAGAAGCAAGGAAATGGAAGGCCTGAACAACTGCCTGTGGGTAGTGTACAGGTCTTCCTCATGAAGCCTCAGGCCTCAGGATGGCTTCCACAATTTTTCTGTGATAGAGTTCGAAGGTTGAAGCCCAATAACTGAGGCAGCTTTCAAAGGGGAAAATGTAACCTCTGGTGTGTTGTCCTCTTTTTGGTACTGATGGCTGTCTGCAGTCTGGGGTCTGCCTGGTCACATAGCTATAGTTTTGCTGTAACCCGATAGGTCCCAGATGTGTTGTTGCTATGAATCCTTATAAACCAGAAATCTTGTATTTGGAGAAGTAACCTGGAATTTAAGGGAGACCTTTTATACCAACACACTATATGTTAAAAATTACAGAAAATAAAGCCTTAAAATGTGAGTATATTTCTAGTTCTGGCATTATGGAAAATTAGATAACCCTGAGTGTCCCTAATGATTGATTTATTAAAATGCAGGGTTAAGTAAAAATTTTTTAAAGACTGTTAAGCACAAAACAAGTTATAGAGAAAAAAGAAATGTGACAATCACATTTTGGGTACAGAGCGAAGAAAATTTAAGTGGTGAATTTAAATTAAGCACTCTGTCATTAACAGTGATAGTAGGAAACTAGGAAACACTATTTCCTCCCTGGAGGAAGACAACTTCAATCTCATCTTCAACAAATTTCCACACATAGTGTGCGCTGGAAAATCAGTGGCTCATACTCAAAGGAAAGTAACATAAAACAAGCAAACAAAGAAAAAAACACACACAGGAAAGCAAGTACTATAGCTAAGAGCCCATAGAAACAGTAGATGAGAAAAACAGATCTAGAATGTTATCATCTATCAACAGTTTTGGGCAGAATCAAAATGACAATGCTTAGTATAATTAAAGTGATAAAAAAGAAATTTTAAAATGTGAGGCAGAAACAGTAGATTTGAAAAAGAACCAGAGAACTTGTAAGCAATCAGCATAATACTTAGAAAAAAAGGAGCTCAGTGGATGCGTTTAAAAGCAGATTAGATACAGCTGAAGCAAAAATTAGGACACTGAAAGTTAGAACTGAAGAAATTACTCAAAATTAAGTTCATAGTATTAAAAGTGGGAAAATATGAATCAGAGAATATAAAATGTAAAATATGGAGGAATCATGGAGGAGAAAGTGAGAGGATATAATATATTTTCAATTGGGGTTTCAAATGGAGTTACTAGAGGGAATACAAAAAGCAAATATTTTGGAACTATTAAAAGACATTAATCAAGTCTCAGTAATAGTAATTCTAAATAATGGGTTAAATGTGAAAGATCATACTATAAAATGACAAATTTATAGTTAAGATTTTTTGACTTTTAAATTTTACTTTGTTGTTCAAGTACAGTTTTCTGTCTTTTACTCCCATCATAGCCCATCCCCCCCAGCCATCCCCACCTCCCTCCTATTTCCACCCCCCCAAATTTTGTCCATGAGAACTATTTTTTTTGCAAATAGTTATGTTAAAAATGTTCAAACACAAAAGAAAATATTATAAATTTTACTACATTAAAATTAAAACCCTCCTGCTTATCAGAGAACACCTACAGAAAATAAAAAGACAATCACAATGTAGGAGAATTTTTTTGTAACATCTTTAACCAATAAAAGTATCTTTGGCTAATCTTATCAGTAATCAGATTAATATTTATTGATAATCCTATACTCTCTCACCTACTAGTTTGGCACAGTTTTGAAAGTCTTGCAGTATTACTGTTGGGGAGGATATGAAACAATAGGAAATTTCATACACAGCTGGTGGGATTACAAATGGTATAATGTCCTTGGCATTAACTAGTTAGTACATTTTACTTTGTGCCTTTCTTACAACCCAGCGATCCCTCTCCTAGATGTTTGCCTCAGGGAAATACTTGTGCATGTGTGGCAGAAGTCACACACAAGATTATTCACAGCAATACTTTTCATAATATTCTCAAATTAGAAATAACTGAAATATCCACTTAATAGAATGGATAAACTATGATATATTTGTGCCTTGGAATCCCATACAGTTGGGCAAATGAATGACTTTAGCTATTGATATCAACATGGATGAATGCCAAAAACATAATAGTGATTTAAAAAAAGCAAGTCATAGTGGTATACTGTAGTATTATTGCATTTAATTAAATTCAAAAACTTGGAAAATTGAGAATACATGCTATTTTTCCATCAGTGATGGAAAAAGTTAGGAAAGAAAAAGAATAATCAATACAAAATTCAAGATGGTGCTTAACTCCAAATGAAAGAAAGATGATGGCAACAGGGGAAATGCAATAGGGAAAGTGGATGTAGGGGTCATAGTGCAGAATTATTCATTTTACTACTATTCTTTAATGTGCACATACATATTTACATTTGAAAAAATTTTAAAGTGTAAAGACAAAGACTCCCACCAGTGGTGAAAATAAAAAGTCATGGACCATTAAAAAAAGTCTAGTTTAAGTCAGGACATAATTATCTACTTAGTCAAGTGTATGAACGACACTTCAAATACTGTCAGGAAAAACAAGTAAAAGGAAGGTGTCTCAGATCTGCTGCAAAGTGAAAATCTACACATTCCACATTGAATGTATAAATTCTGTTCTTAAATTTTCAAGACTCCCAGCTGGGCAGTGTTATCATTTCGGATGGTCTTTCTATGTTGAATTTTATTTTATAGGAGATACAATGTTTGTATTGACTCATCATTGTCAAAGCAAACTTAAATTACCAAATAACAAAACCAGGGAAATGTGTTTTACAGTATGCTGTAAATATATCATCTGTATTTCCATTTGTGGGATACAAAATTACCTCTGTCTTATGAATTAGATAGTTTTATTAAATCAGAAGGGGGATGTCCATAATGATTTAAGAAGAATGCAGAAAGAAAATTCAAAATTATACCACCTTAGTAATTTTAGTTTCTTATTAATTTCTATTATCTGTATGGTTTGGGATTTTTTGCTAATATTAATTTGGTTTTCAGTTGGCTTCTAACTTGGTGCTGTGGGAACACCTCTAAATTTATTGAAGGAATCATTAAAAATGCTTGGGTGTTATATTAGAATTGGTATGTGAACTGTTTATTATTTTCTTAAAACTGTCCAAATTCTAAGCTATATAAAATTTAAGCCATTTGAGTTACAATAATTGCTCAAAACTTCCCAAACCTCTCAAATTTTGAAAAATAAATGGATAATTTGTATGTGACATAAAATTTCTCCACTTGTCATGGTGAGCAATTGGAAACTGGATTTTCATTTATAGTTCTTTGCAAATGATCGGTAATGTCCTTGAACCCTTAACTGTAGAATTGACTAGGTTAACTTTTTAATTAAAAAGAAAAATAGAAACTATAGCATTTCATTTCTTCAGTTCATAATACCAAGCAAACTACTTTTCTATAAGTACTCTAATGAAACTCAGAGGATAGGTCTAGACTGTATTTACAAAGTATAATACACAAATATGCTCCATTTATATGATTAATTCTAAAAATTCAGCCCAAAGTGACTTTAGTTAAAATTGCTTTTAAAAATAGTAATTAAGAACTTCTTGTATTTTATCAATATGATGTTTATTCTGTTGGCTGAATATATGGAAATGTTAGCATTAGCCTATCCCATCTTTCCCCTCTCCAGAAGAAATCTGATTTTCTTATATCTTAAACAATAGACAACTGAAAAAAAAATAAAATCAGATGCTCTCTCCTTTGTTTTAACTATCTATATTGTGATTTCCTTGGAAAATTATATAATTTCATGCTGTTCATTAACTTAGGAACCTAATCTTACCACAGTATTTTAAAATAGAGTCTTTAGTGCTGAAAGACTAACTTTTACTAATAATTTACTACTCTTTGATTAAAATAACAAAACATTTGTTACTATTTGTGCTTTTTGTGTTTAAAAAAAATAGTGAAGGGCTCTGGCTAAATAATACCATTAGTTAGAGTGTCATCCCGATTTGCCAAGGTTGTGGGTTTGATCTCTAGTCAGGGCACATACAAGAATCAACCAATGAATACAGAAATACCACATTTTGCCATCTATAATGTGCTCCCATGCATAACATGCACCTACATTTTCATGAGCATTATTCATGGGATTATTATGTCTATGGTATATAATCATTATACCATGTAGAACGCACACCCTTATTTTTCCCTCAAAAATTTGGCCCAAAACATGTGCATTATACATGGCAAAATATGGTAAGTGGAACAACAAATGTCACTCTCTCCTTCCCTTGTTCCCTCCCTCACTCTCCCCTTCTCTCTCTCTCTCCCCCTTCCTCTCTCTCTCTAAAATCAATAAATACAAATAAAAAACTAAGTAGTAAGGAAAGGAATCTGAGTTGAGGACTGACTAGAGTATGTCATTAAACACATAGTAGAAAGACAAGTAACATTTTCATGATTTAAAGCTTTTGAAGAAGCCTGAGTTACTGTATCCAGATATCTAAGTTTTACTTCTAGGTTTTAGATTTTTAAAAATATTTTCACTGAATTTCATTACATAAGCATATAAAAGCAAATTATCTTCATTAGTTCAGAGAACAGTAGATTTTATATAATGAGGCAATTACAGAGATTGTGAAATAGAGTTTAAAAAACACTATGTGATCATATTGTAATACTAACATGTTTA